GTGAGTGATGAGTGAGTGAGTGAGTGATTTGAGTGTGTGTGAGAGTGTGAGTGAGTGAGTGTGAGTGTGTGTGAGTGAGTGAGTGAGTGAGCGAGTGAGCGAGTGAGCGAGTGAGCGAGTGAGCGAGTGAGCGAGTGAGCGAGTGAGCGAGTGAGCGAGCGAGTGAGCGAGCGAGCGAGCGAGCGAGTGAGTGAGTGAGTGAGGGACTGAGTGAGTGAGTGAGTGAGTGAGTGAGTGAGTGAGTGAGTGAGTGAGTGAGTGAGTGTGTGTGTGAGTGTGAGTGTGAGTGTGAGTGTGTGTGAGTGTGAGTGTGTGTGTGTGAGTGAGTGAGTGAGTGAGTGAGTGAGTGAGTGAGTGAGTGAGTGAGTGATGTGAGTGATGTGAGTGAGAGAGTGAGTGAGGGAGTGAGTGTGTGTGAGTGAGGGAGTGGGAGGACGGGAAGGAGGACGAGGAGGAGGAGGACCGGATACAGAACTAAAAACAAAAACCCCACACGTCAATGTGGGGAATGATTTCTTGTGGGCCAACACATTGAGCAACTTTGTAGTTGCAATTCGCATTGCCATGGCCATCTGGGAAGTTGTCGGCGGTGTCCAGAAAGGCGGTGTCCTAGTGCGGTTGCAGAAGGACCGCCTAGAAGGATGACAGCTCATACCATGCAAGTCTTTTCCAGGTGTTCCGCCGAAATCAGTTATATAGAAATTCCTTCCGAAAGCTCGAGAAAAGCCCATCTTGCCTTTCGATTTAAAAGTTCTGTCAGAAAAAAGATGAGAAAAAGGAAATATGATGAAATATGAACATGATTATATGAACCAGATCGATTCCCCTACCCAATGGGAACACCATGGTGGATTCGGCCCACCTTCCCACATCACCCGCATCAAGGACACATCGTCAGAGCTGGCGGATGCTCGCTTGTCAACTGGCTCGTTAGTACACGAGTTAGCCAAGGAGCCGGGGGGGATGCTACTTGTGGTTGGTGTAAGTGGTGCTCATGCTCGGTGGCTGACCCTGTCCAATCCCATCATATCCTTGTCGAGCCCAGGTGATTGTGTAGGTCTCATAGATTTTCTGGGTGGTTGTATATTGTGGAGGATTACGCTCAGTAGTTTTAACCTAAACAAGTGCTATCCTTTACCTTGGAGGCCGAACTGCCCGGAATCAAACCCGCCGGTTCCTGGCTCAATTGCACTCGGCTTTGGGCAGCTTCAAATTTTGGAAGCTGTTTTCCCAACTTATGTCCTCATCACCAATGAGGGATCTTGTTTTTCGGCGGGGCACTCTGCCTGGTCATTGCAGCTGGTAGCAACAAGGAAAAGTCTTTTCCAGATTTATCCAGTATTGTCCCTGAAGGGTTGTGACCTAAGTGTGGGTCACCATTTTTTGCGAATATCACATATTCATACATTATTAGTAATCATTGGCTTAAATTTACCTTCCACAATCAGAATGACCGTGGTCATATTCCCATCATTTCCCACTTATTGGTTTGGTCATTACACCGGTTTCCCCTTGTGGAAGGTTCATTTTTTCAACAAGTCACGTTGGTGTGGATGGGTTGCACCATTTCTTGTTCCGTGTGTCTTTCCCAGTTCTTGGTGATTTCAGCCCATGCCGCGGTCATCGCCATGGCCGATCGTAGCATTGATGGCGGGTGGTCCCTGGCTCTTCCTTGGGGCGACTGGACCAAATGTTGGACGTCACAGGGGGCTCGTCACCAGGCTTGAAAAGAGTAGCGAAACCATGGCTTTCATCCAAAAAAATGGGTGTCCAGACATGGTAAAATGATATAGATGTGCGTTGCTACTTAATCTCGGATGTAAGATGTATATGTGCGTGTGAGAGATATGTGCTGACCTTTGAATGTTTATCTTGCGGCCATTTTCTGACAACATCTGACAACTTGAACAGACCCCACAAGTTTTGGTGTGTTTTCATGTTTGATCCGGGCCGATCCCAACTTCCTGCCTGGTGCAGGCAACTTTTCAGTGAGAACCTTTGGACACGCAGGAGCAAGCGTTCACTGTCGACCTGGTATGGGCCTCCAGTGATTCCAGACCGAGACGTGAAAGCTTATGTTGACTTGGTGCTTTCAGATCCAAACAGTCACCTGTTTTCACTCATAGCGTTCACTGCATTTTTTTTCAAGTTGCTTAGCCCCCTGGTTAAACAAAATCAGATGGCCCACGTGGAATGGAGCGCGAAAGAAGTTGAATCACAAGTCGCAAGCGGTTGCATCCTCGAATGAATGCATCAACACTTGTTGTGCTCACTCAAATGCTCTCCCAATCAATGATGGCTGACGTATATAATCTATCCCTAAATATCCCTAAGTTGTTTGGGCTGGCCGCCTATCCTTTTCCCATGTTTGACCTGACAAAGTTGATGATGCCCGAGAAATGTCCATTTTATGGGTTAGCATGGTATATCATGGTATGTTGTTCGCTGGATACTGCAACCCCTCCTTTTTTTTCAGGTCAAGTCAATGATCCTGCCGTACCAGATTTCATTGAAGCTCAGCTTGGCGGCCAAATCGTGTGTATGGTGCACATATTAATGTAGATTGCATGTGTTTTTGACACCTGTGTGTGTGTGTTTGCGCAAATATATGGTGCTATAATGTTTTTATATGTTTTGTATGCATGTATATACATATATAATAAATATATATATATATATATAATGGATTTGCAATGAAGATGTGCATTGATGCAGTTGCAGATTTTGCACATGTGCGTGTGTGTGTGTGTGGTCATAATCATATGAGTTTGTTTGCAGCAAAATGGCAGCTGTAGGTGTTGGATGTAGCTGATTTGTTTGGCATTGCCATTCAGCTTTAGGTCAAAACGAATTTGAGGCACCCCAACCCAAGCAAATGCTCTACCCGGTATCCCCTTCAGGCTCCTCCAGTCACCATGGCCGCTGAAATTTATACCAATATTATGCAACAAGTGGTTGTTTCTCAAGGTGAACTAAGAAATCATCATGCTTAATTAGTCAAAGATTTCCGAGAGACTAGGTCTGTCTTAAACACCCAAAGCCCAAGAGTGAGAACCATATCTCATAGCGACCCTCCAAAATGAATGCCTATGCAGTTGGCTATGCAACTTCCGCAAAACATGTGCCACTTTTGAACTTACAAAGAGTGGGATGTCAGCAGATGTGCATCCGAGATATGTCAGCACAGAAAGGCATAGCTCAAGACACAGTGTTGGGCAATGACAAAATGGCCGCTGAATTTGGGTTGATGCTTAATTTAGATCTTTTTATACCACTTGTCAAAATTGTCAAGCTTGTTTCATGAGAATTATCATATACCATAACTCATCAAGAGGGATTTTATAACGATGAACCCAGGTCATCTCTTTCCTCCCAGGATTTGACCATTTTTGCGCCGTCTCAGGAGCGCGAAGTTTATTTCGTGGTGGTGCGTTTTGTTCTGCAGATGTTACATTTTGCCGTTGGGGTCATTGACGAGCGCGCCTTGTTCGGTCAAACTCTCTACATGCTGCAGTATCAAAGCCACTGGTCGAACGGAACCAGGATGGTGCGGGACATCGGTTTCGGTTTCAGCCAAGCCAAATCAACCGTAAACAACGCAGATCAACTTTCTGGAAACTGTGCTGCGTTCATTTCAATCAAAACAGGGCTGCGTCTGGGATGTTTTCTTAATATGATATAAACTTAGTTTTTTTTTATGTTTTTTTCATGATGTTTTCTCGCCTTCTCCGCTGAATTCCTAGAGATGACGATGGCGGAGGGGTGCGACCTCCAGAGTCTCCAGTGGATTCACCATCCCGGCCCAGGCAAGGATCACAACCTGCAACGATCTGCTCTGAACCTGACTCCTGATATGATCGACTTTGCCATGCGAGAGGTAGTTGTGCCATCCTCCAGGCACAAAAACATCATCGGTGCCAAAGCGGATGAAATCCTCTACAAAAATGCGGTGAAGTCTCTAAGCTGATTCTGTTGGCCCCCCATGTGGCTCCAGGGATTGATTTTTTTCAATCCGATTGATCTTTTCAATAATTATTGAACTTTTTTCAATCCGGATTGAAAATCAAAAATTATTGAAAAAAAAATCAATATCGGTTTCAATCTGGATTGAAAAATATTTTCAATAGTTATTGAAAAAAATCTGGAAAAAATCAATTACTTTACTTCGTGTGATCCCCACCATGACATTTATACATTTTCTTACTGGCAAATCTTCTGGCATTCTATCTGACATATCTTCTGACATTCTATTTGACATTCTATCTGGCATATCTTCTGGCATGTGATCTGGCATATCTTCTGGCATATCTTCTGGCATTCTATCTGGCAAATCTTCTGGCATTCTATCTGGCATTCTATCTGGCATATCTTCTGGCATTCTATATGGCAGATCTTCTGGCATTATATCTGGCATATCTTCTGGCATCCTATCTGGCAAATCTTCTGGCATTCTATCTGGCATTCTATCTGGCATATCTTCTGGCATATATTCTGACATATCTTCTGCTATCTTCTGGCATATCGTCTGGCATATTCTTCTGAACATATCTATCTTGTCATATCTTCTGGCTATTTTCTGGCATTCTATCTGGCAAATCTTCTGGCATTCTAATCTGCATTCTATCTGGCATACTTCTGCATATTATCTGCATTCTATCTGGCATATCTTCTGGCATATCTTCTGACATTCTTTCTGGTAACATTCTTTCTAACTTTCTTCTGCACATTCTTGTCCTCATAATCTTCCTACATGAGTCGGCAGGAACACTAGGGAAGATAGTGCTACACTTGGCGTGGATAACTCGCGGTTTGAGGTCCTCAAGGAACCTCCGGGACTGGGCGTGGATGGTCGTGGTTGAGGTCCGGCAGGGAACACTGGGCGAGGATGGTCGTGGTTGAGGTCCGGCAGGGAACATTGAGCAGGATGGTCGTGGTTGAGGTCCGGCAGGGAACACTGGGCGTGGATGGTCGTGGTTGAGGTCCGGCAGAGAACACTGTGGATCGCGGGTCGCAGTTGAGCAAGGATGACGAGGACGACGAGGACGACGAGGACGACGAGGAGGACGAGGAGGAGGAGGAGAGGAGGACGAGGCAGGAGGAGGCGGAGGAGAAGGAGGAGGAGAAGGAGGAGGAGGACGAGGAGGCAACTGACATAAAATCTAACAACCCTCACCTGGCAGGTGGGGAATAATTATTGAAATTTTTCAATCCAGAAATTTAATAATTATAGTTGCTGCTGCAGGAAAGCATATGCACATCTTTTTCCTCATCATGCAAGCACTGGTGACACAGAGGAAACAAGACATATATCAAAGCATGGCCTTTTTGCAGGCCTCCAGCTTGCCTTTGGCCTTGTGCTGGGGCCTTTGACATATCTTGCCTGGCTTTGTTTCAAGCACCTGGCTGGCCCAAGGTCATGGCATTAGCTTTGGTTTGCCTTCACAAAGTGAAGGGTTCTGTTTTTCTGGCCTTTTTCCAGGCCACCCGTGACAAAGTCAAGTTTGTGAAGAATTCTGCCTTCACAAAGTCAAGTTTGTGAAGGATTCTGCCTTCACAAAGTCTAGTTTGTGAAGGATTCTGCCTTCACAAAGTCCAGTTTGTGAAGAATTCTGCCTTCACAAAGTCAAGTTTGTGAAGGATTCTGCCTTCACAAAGTCAAGTTTGTGAAGGATTCTGCCTTCACAAAGTCAAGTTTGTGAAGGATCCTTCCTTCACAAAGTCAACTTTGTGAAGGATTCGGCCTTCACAAAGTCAAGTTTGTGAAGGCAAAATTCTTCACAAAGTCAAGTTTGTGAAGGATTCTGCCTTCACAAAGTCAAGTTTGTGAAGGATTCTGCCTTCACAAAGTCAAGGTTGTGAAGGATCCTGCCTTCACAAAGTCAAGTTTGTGAAGGATTCTGCCTTCACAAAGTCAAGTTTGTGAAGGCAAAATTCTTCACAAAGTCAAGTTTGTGAAGAAATCTGCCTTCACAAAGTCCAGTTTGTGAAGAATTCGGCCTTCACAAAGTCAAGTTTGTGAAGGCAAAATTCTTCACAAAGTCAAGTTTGTGAAGAAATCTGCCTTCACAAAGTCAAGTTTGTGAAGGATTCTGCCTTCACAAAGTCAAGTTTGTGAAGGATTCTGCCTTCACAAAGTCAAGTTTGTGAAGGATCCTGCCTTCACAAAGTCAAGTTTGTGAAGGATTCTGCCTTCACAAAGTCAAGTTTATGAAGGCAAAATTCTTCACAAAGTCAAGTTTGTGAAGAATTCTGCCTTCACAAAGTCCAGTTTGTGAAGAAATCTGCCTTCACAAAGTCAAGTTTGTGAAGAATTCTGCCTTCACAAAGTCAAGTTTGTGAAGAAATCTGCCTTCACAAAGTCCAGTTTGTGAAGAATTCTGCCTTCACAAAGTCAAGTTTGTGAAGGCAAAATTCTTCGCAAAGTCAAGTTTGTGAAGGCAAAATTCTTCACAAAGTCCAGTTTGTGAAGGATTCTGTCTTCACAAAGTCCAGTTTGTGAAGAATTCTGCCTTCACAAAGTCAAGTTTGTGAAGGATTCTGCCTTCACAAAGTCAAGTTTGTGAAGAATTCTGCCTGCACAAAGTCAAGTTTGTGAAGAATTCTGCCTTCACATTCACAAAGTCCAGTTTGTGAAGAAATCTGCCTTCACAAAGTCAAGTCTGTGAAGGCAAAATTCTTCACAAAGTCAACTTTGTGAAGAATTCTGCCTTCACAAAGTCAAGTTTGTGAAGGATTCTGCCTTCACAAAGTCAAGTTTGTGAAGGATTCTGCCTTCACAAAGTCAAGTTTGTGAAGGCAAAATTCTTCACAAAGTCAAGTTTGTGAAGGATTCTGCCTTCACAAAGTCCAGTTTGTGAAGGATTCTGCCTTCACAAAGTCAAGTTTGTGAAGAATTCTGCCTTCACAAAGTCAAGTTTGTGAAGAATTCTGCCTTCACAAAGTCAAGTTTGTGAAGAATTCTGCCTTCACAAAGTCAAGTTTGTGAAGGCAAATTTCTTCACAAAGTCAAGTTTGTGAAGGATTCTGCCTTCACAAAGTCAAGTTTGTGAAGAATTCTGCCTTCACAAAGTCAAGTTTGTGAAGAATTCTGCCTTCACAAAGTCCAGTTTGTGAAGAATTCTGCCTTCACAAAGTCAAGTTTGTGAAGAATTCGGGCCTTCACAAGTCCAGTTTGTGAAGAATTCCGGCCTTCACAAAGTCAAGTTTGTGAAGGAATTCTGGCCTTCACAAAGTCCAGTTGGAAGGATTCTGCCTTCACAAAGTCACGTTTTGTGAAGGCAAAATTCTTCACAAAGTCAAGTTTGTGAAGATTTCTGCCTTCACAAAGTCCAGTTTGTGAAGAATTCTGCCTTCACAAAGTCAAGTTTGTGAAGGCAAAATTCTTCACAAAGTCAAGTTTGTGAAGGCAAAATTCTTCACAAAGTCCAGTTTGTGAAGGATTCTGCCTTCACAAAGTCCAGTTTGTGAAGAATTCTGCCTTCACAAAGTCAAGTTTGTGAAGGATTCTGCCTTCACAAAGTCAAGTTTGTGAAGAATTCTGCCTTCACAAAGTCAAGTTTTGTGAAGGATTCTGCCTTCACACATGTCAAAGTTTGGAACAGGGATTCTGCCTTCACAAAGTCATTTTGTGAAGGCACAAATTCTTCACAAAGTCCAGTTTGTGAAGGATTCTGGCTTCACAAAGTCAAGTTTGTGAAGGATTCTGCCTTCACAAAGTCAAGTTTGTGAAGGATTCTGCCTTCACAAGTCAAGTTTGTGAAGGATTTTGCCTTCACAAAGTCAAGTTTGTGAAGGATTCTGCCTTCACAAAGTCAAGTTTGTGAAGGATTCTGCCTTCACAAAGTCAAGTTTGTGAAGGCCATAAATTCTTTCACAAGTCCAACTTTGTGAAGGATTCTTCTGCCTCACAGAGCTCTAGTTTGTGAAGGATTCTGCCTTCACAAAGTCAAGTTTGTGAAGAGTTGTGCCTTCACAAAGTCCAGTTTGTGAAGATTTCTGCCTTCACAAAGTCAAGTTTGTGAAGAATTCTGCCTTCACAAAGTCCAGTTTGTGAAGGATTCTGCCTTCACAAAGTCAAGTTTGTGAAGAATTCTGCCTTCACAAAGTCAAGTTTGTGAAGGCAAAGTTCTTCACAAAGTCAAGTTTGTGAAGGATTCTGCCTTCACAAAGTCCAGTTTGTGAAGAATTCTGCCTTCACAAAGTCAAGTTTGTGAAGGATTCTGCCTTCACAAAGTCAAGTTTGTGAAGGCAAAATTCTTCACAAAGTCAAGTTTGTGAAGGATTATGCCTTCACAAAGTCAAGTTTGTGAAGGATTCTGCCTTCACAAAGTCCAGTTTGTGAAGGATCCTTCCTTCACAAAGTCAAGTTTGTGAAGGATTCTGCCTTCACAAAGTCCAGTTTGTGAAGGCAAAATTCTTCACAAAGTCAAGTTTGTGAAGAAATCTGCCTTCACAAAGTCCAGTTTGTGAAGAATTCTGCCTTCACAAAGTCCAGTTTGTGAAGAAATCTGCCTTCACAAAGTCAAGTTTGTGAAGAATTCTGCCTTCACAAAGTCAAGTTTGTGAAGGCAAAATTCTTCACAAAGTCAAGTCTGTGAAGGATTCTGCCTTCACAAAGTCAAGTTTGTGAAGGATTCTGCCTTCACAAAGTCAAGGTTGTGAAGGATCCTGCCTTCACAAAGTCAAGTTTGTGAAGGATTCTGCCTTCACAAAGTCAAGTTTGTGAAGGCAAAATTCGTCACAAAGTCAAGTTTGTGAAGAAATCTGCCTTCACAAAGTCAAGTTTGTGAAGAATTCTGCCTTCACAAAGCCAAGTTTGTGAAGGATTCTGCCTTCACAAAGTCCAGTTTGTGAAGAATTCAAGTCAAGTTTGTGAAGGATTCTGCCTTCACAAAGTCCAGTTTGTGAAGGATTCTGCCTTCACAAAGTCAAGTTTGTGAAGAATTCTGCCTTCACAAAGTCCAGTTT